ATGCCACCCTCCTCTTCACAGAGTCCAGCTTCTCAGCTGATAATGAAAGAGGAAGTAGAAGCTGCGTTGAAGGCATTGGCAAAAAAATAAAGCCTTGGAAACTGATGGGATACCAACTGGTTTGTTTCAGTTAACAGATTCAGCCTTGAATGTGCTCACCAGTCTATGCCAGGAAATTTGGAGGACAGCTGTCTGGCCAACAGATTGGAAGAGGTCCATCCATATTTGTTCCCATTCCCAAGAAAGGTGATCCAAGCGAATGTGGAAACTATTGAACAATCTTGTGATTGGCTATTGTAATTGCTATGATTTTTCTTAGTTCTATTTCTATATTCTCTTTGTCAACTGTAGAGAAATTCAACTCATTTTTTTTGTAAGCTGATCTTGTATCTTGCTACTTTGCTAAATTGATTATGTCCAATCATTTTCTTGCTGAATCTCTAGGGTTTTCTAAGTATATTATCATATCATCTGCATATAGAGATAGTTTTACCTCCTCTTTGCCAATTTGGATACCTCATATATCCTTCTCTTGCCTTATTTCTCTCATTAAGACTTTTAATACGATATTGAATAGGAATACCCAGTCGCAAAATAGGCACAAGATGTGAACAGATACTTCACTAAAGAAGAAATTAAGATGGCAAACAAACTCATGAAGAAATATCCAAAACCTCTATCTATCCAAGAGATGCAACACAAAACAACTTTAAGATTTACTCTCACCTCAGCAACAATAGCAAAGTTCAACAAAACAGCAAACAACAAATCCTGGCGAGGTTATGGAGAGAGTGGAGCTCTTCTTCACTGCTGGTGGGAAGGTAAAATGGTACAACCACTATGGAAGGCAGTCTAGTGCTTTCTCAAAAAATTGGAAATAGAGGTCACTGATGTTGTGCAGCATATTGTGAACTGTTGAATCACCAATTACTTCTGCCTTTTGTGAAAATAGAGGAAGACAAAGTTCTAAATATTGTTACAAAAGTCTGGTATCACGTATAAAGGACATATGAACATTTTTGTGTTTCCTTTTGAATGTGTTGCAAATTATTTTCCACAAGATCTGTATTAATTCAGTTGCCAATAAAGTATAGCATACCCCCAAAAAATTGGAAATAGAAATAAAATTTAACCCAGTAATTCCACTACTGGCAGTATACTCTAAAGAAACCAGAGCTATGACTCAAACAGATGCATGCACTCATGTTAATTGATGCATTATTTGTAACAGTAAAGACATGGAAGCAGCCCAAGTATCCCTCAACAATTAAATGGGTAGAAAAACTGTGGTACGTTCACACAATGGAGTATTACACAGCACTGAAAAGCAATGGACTCATAAAACACTACACATCACGAGTGAGCCTGAAGGACATTATGCTGAGTGAAATATCTCAATCACAAAGGGACAAATACTGCATAATGCCACTTTTATAAAATAAGACTGACATGAAGGATTGGGAGAAGAATAGAAAAAGAATGGATAATGAGTACTGTCTTGTTACAGATGAGGGGAAGAACTATCTAAAAGGAACGTATGATTAGGTACTGCATGTACAACAACAATCTGGAACAAGGGGTGAAGGGTGGACTGGGGAAGGAGAAAGTGAGGAGGAGAGGAAAATGTGCAACAATGAGTGAATGAAAACCCAACCTTTCTGTAAACCTTCATTAATAAAAATAAGAAAAAGACAACCTTTCTTTTAAATTTTATTTTATTATTTTTTTTGGAGTGTGTGTGTGTGTGTGTGTGTGTGTGTGTGTGTGTGTACCATCAAATCAGATCTGACTGGTACAGGAAGAGATTTCTCCTCCTTTTCCAGCAGAGCATCTGGCGGATTCAAACTGCGTACCTCTGGGATTGCAGTGCAGTTTCTTGCCACTAGGCCACCAGAGCTCCCTAGAAAAAGACAACCTCTTAAAAACTAACTTTTTAATTATTTTTTAAAATATAAAATTTGCCCCTCTGACCATTTTCATTGTAATACACTGACATTAATTACATTTATTAATTACATTAATTAATTTAGCATGTGGTGTAGTTCATAAAGAGTTGCACTTCTGACTCAAAGGCGGCCCCTCTCTGGTGGTTCAAGTTCACTAGAGGCTGCTTACATGAAAGATGGACAGTCTCCTCCTGTGAGACTGACACTCTCCCAAAAACCTGCTCGCAGGTCAGCTATGAATCTCTTCCAACTTGACAGCCATGAGATTGAGTTGAGATGCACAACTCTCACCTCTCTTCTCACTTCTCTTCTCTCTTTTCACAATAGCAAAGAGTTGGAAACAACCTAAGTGCCCATCAACAAACAAATGGATAGAGAAGCTGTGGCATATTCACACAATGGAATACTACGCTGCATTGAAAAACAAGGAACTCATGCAATATTATTCAAAATGGGTGACCCTGGGGGACATTAAGCTGAGTGAAATATCTCAGTCACAAAAGGACAAATACTGCATAGTGCCACTGTTGTAGAACGGGACTGACATCAAGGTTGGGGTGAGACTGAGAAAAATTGGATAAATTATGTATACTATATTGAAACAGATGAGGGAGAGAACAGTTTAAAAGCTATATATGATTGGGTATTATGTTTATGGCAAAAGTCCAGAATGAAGGCTTCATAGTGGAGTGTACTCGGTGGGGGGATAGTATACCAATGAAATAATTTTTCTTTTACTTTTCAAGAGAAGAGCAAAGAGGGAAGGGTTGGGCAGGGAGAAAAATGCAACAATTAATGAATGGAAATCCAAAATCTATATAAACATTCATTAAAATATAAAAAAAAATGAACTTTTCATCACCCCAAACAGAAGCTCAGTTCCCTTTAAGTGATGAGTTACTATTCTCCAACCTTCTGCCCCATCACCTCTGCCCAAAATTGGTCGCTCTGCATCTGCGTGTGCTGGTCATTTCCCAGAAGTGGGACCACGCAGCATGTGGGCCTTTGTGCCTGACTTCTTTCACTGAGCATCACAATTCCAAGTGTCATCCAGGTTGTAAAGGGCATCGGTGCTTCACTTCTCTTCATGGCTGAGTAATATTCTATTGCTCAGCTGCAGCAAGAGCGTCCCCTGCAGGTGAGCATGGTGAGAAGTCTCACAGGCTGTAGGTGTGTTTTCAGGAGGGGCCAGTCAGTTCCTGGAGAAGGAGTAGTGCTTCACAGTTGGCCAAGCAGAGGATCAAGGAAGGAAGACCTTTAAAGACCTTCACTGACACAACGGCTGCTGCAGGATCAGACAGGGCTTTGTTCTGTTTCACGTGGGTTGTTATAACTCTAGGACCCCTAACAATTATATCAATAACTCTTGGTCCTGTTGATGGAGCACAGAGTGGTCATCCATTCGTCTGCTGATGGCCCCTTGGATCACTCCTGCCTTTGGTGGTGTAGTCTGGAGTCGTGCTGCTGACCCAAAGGAGGTGCCTTTCTGCCGGTTCAAATCCACCTCAGGAAAAAACTAGACAATCGCTTTATATGAGTTTTACAGCCTCCTGAAAACTCACTGGAGGGTCAGCTATGTGTCAGTTCTCATCTGCTGTCAATGAGTTTGGGTCTTGAGGGTTTTTTCAGCTATTGTGAACAATACCACAACGGCTGTTAGTGTGTGTCTGTTGGAGGCCCTATTTTCAACTCTCTTGGAGAGATACCAAGGATTGGCGCTTTTGGGCCCTGTGGTAGGGAGCGCTAGTGGCCTAGTGGCAAGAAGCTGTGCTGCAATCCTGAAGGCCCACAGTTCAAGGCCACCAACTGCTCCGTGGGAGAAGGATGGGCAATCTCCTCCTGTGTGATTAACTGCCTCTGAAAACCTGCTGGAGGGTCAGCTATGGGTCAGTTCCAGCTCGATGGTACACAACAACAACAACAACAACAACAACAACAGGTCCTGTAGTAGTTCTCAATCAACAGTTACTGCTCTTGGCTACCGATGGAAAGACTGGAGGAGAGAGTTCACCCAGTGGTGTTGCAGAAGAAAGGCCTGGAAATCTACTTCTGAAAACCCAGCTCTTACAAACCTTCTGGAGCACAGCTCTGCTTTGGCACACGTGGGGACACTATGAGCTGGAAGGGACCCCAGAGGAGCTGGTTTGGTTGAAATCTTGTGCTCAGCCATGGGCTCGGCCATTTCAAATGGCACATCTTGGTTTGATGTGGACAGATGTCCCTTGGGGACTAGCTAATCCCCCTTCGTATCAAGGACTCCCACCTTCCAATGGCTAGAGTATCTGGCTTGCAGCTTGAAAGCAGGGTTTTCCTATCTCAGCACTGTACTCACTTGGTTCTAGATCATTCTCTGGTGGGACTGTCCTGTGCCCTGTGTATCTTCACCATTCCCTGCCTGTAGCATCATTCCTCCAAAAAGGACCAAAAATGACTTTGAACAAGCCACTGTCCCTGGGGTCAGTTGGCCCCAGGCGAGAATTGCTGGTTTGAACAGTTGTCTGGGTACCTGTACTGAGGAATTTGCCTCTTTGGAATGGGTGGTGAGTGCAGGAGGAGGCAGGGGCTCCACCAGGTCCTTGTCCTCCTTGCCTGGCCTGCCAGGGCTGGACATGGCTCCCAGCAGCCCACAGCCTCTCCTTTGCACACCTGGGCCCAGCTCAAGTTACACAGAAGCCCCAGGAGACCCAGGTGCTGGAGAGGCTGGCTGGTCCCCAGGCCCCAACGCCCAGCGCCAGGAAACCGCAGTTGCTGTGGCGACCGCTGAGCTCCGAGGGCGAGGAGATGCTTGGTTGAGGGGGAGTAGGCTCCATAGCTTGGAGGAGCCACGTCCAGGGGCTTGGCGTGGAGTAAACTGTCCACCATCCCCCCCATTAGCTTGTAGACCAAGTGCAAGCTGTGTGCAGCAGAGGCCCTGGAATGACGAGGACTTCGGGTCACCCTAGGGGTCCCTGAGAGTGATACAGACCCCCTACTCCAGATGGCTCTGCCCAGTTGGGCTCCCAGGAGGGTTTGAGGTCTCCAAGGTGGGGAAGGGTCTTCTGGGTGGGTGGCAGCATGAGCGTGGCCCCCCTCAGCCCGGGCACCCGCCGGCGACTACTCCAGGGCCAGCCAGGTCCCCTCCCAGCACCCGTGTCCAACGGCGTGGCCATCTTCATCAGCTCTACGGTGTCGGGTAAGGTGGGCACAGGGCTGGGACTTTGGGGGCAAGCATGCTGTCTCAGGAGGCCGGGGTTCTGGCAATGGAATGGGGGTTTCTGGGAGTCTAGATGTGAGTCCTATTCAGGCAGTGACTCATATGGGACATGACATGGTAGAACCTTCTAGAACCTTCTGGAACCTCTGTGTCCCTCTAGATAAGATAGGCTGAATCCCAATTTAACAGAAATGCTTGTGGTGCTAAATGTTACTGAAACATATATATGCAGCACAGTGTGTTATAGACATCAAATGTACCTCACTAACTTTATGTCCTACAATCTTTATCCTATAAACTTTATCTCCTCACCCACTTGCTGGGCCTACATCAGCCTCTCTCAGCTCCTGAAGCCTGTGATGTTCTAGGACCCACTACGAACTCTTTATCTTGGTGCTTCTTTCCTCCTTCCCATCCTTTGGGGCTTCTGTGTTTTACCCCCTCTTTAGAGAGCTTGGAATCCCTCCCTCCCCCAGTATAGTCTCGGTTATTCTCCAGCACAAATACATACGCTTCTTTCCTTCTTTTTAACTGTTTCATGAGGTAACATATATGCACCAAAATTGTGTCAATTCAATTGAATTCATTCAGTGGCATTTATTCCTTCCCTTGTGGTGTGAATCACTGTTACTCATTTCCAGACTATTCTACCACCGTTAGCAGAACTCAGTGTGTCCTACATGAAAACTTTCTCGCTCCCACCTCTGGTAGCCACCAATATGCTTTTGTCTCGTGGTTGTTAAGTGCTGTTGAACTGGTTCTGACTCACAGTGGCCCTGTACACCAAGGAGGGAAATTCCGTGCAGCCCTGCACCAGCCCCACAATCTCTTGTGCTGGAGCTCCGAGTTAAAGTGGCGGTGCCAGTCCGTCTCATTGAGGGTCTTCCTCTTTCTTGCTGACCCTTCTCCAAGGACACACCTAAAATATATGAGATGATGCCTCACTACCCTTGCATTAAGACAGATTTGCTTGTTCACCTGACTGTCCACATCAAATGCACAGTATATTCCACACCACACGCATCAATTCTTCTTTAGCTTTCTTATTTATTGCCCAGCTTTGTCTGCCTACCAGGCTACTGAAAAGACCGTAGCTTGGGGGAGGTGTACCTTAATCCTCAAAGGGACATTTTTGCTCTTTGAAACTGTAACAGGATCCTTTGCAGCACATTGGCCCAATACTACCCATTGTTTGATTTCGTGACTGCCGCCTGCATGAGTGTGGATTGTGGATCCAGGTAAAAATGACATCTTTGACAAGTTCCATCTTTTCTCCACTTGCCATGAGGTTACCTATTGGTCCAGTTGCGAGGACTTTTGCTTTATGTGGAGGTGTGATCCATACTGAAATCTGTAGTCTTTGTTCTTCATCGGTGAGGGCTTCACGTCTTCTTTCCTTTCAGCAAATGAGTCTGTATTTGTTATCTGTGTATCACAAGCCACCAATGAGTCTCCCCCTAATCCCAATGCTTCGCTCTTTTTCACATAGTCCAGCTTCTAAGAGTATTTGCTCATCATGCAAATGGCACAAATCTAGCAAAAGAATATAACCTTATCACACATTTTTTCCTAATATTAAAGCTTTCAGTACCGTCTTGATCTGTTCAGATGCTGCGTGAGCACAATCAGGTGTTCCAGATGTCCCAATCTTGTTAATGTTATCCATAATTTATTATGATCCCCACAGTAGAATGCCTTTAAATAGTCTATAAAACTTTGTGGTATTCCCTACTTTCAGTCAAGATCCATTTAACATCAGCAATGATATTTTTCTTTCTGTGATATGCTGGAAAATATTCAGCAATTGTTGTTATTATGTACCGTTGAGTTGCCTGTGACCCATAGTGCCCCTATGTACAGCAGTTCTGAAGCCTGACCTGTTCTGAGCCAGCCTTACTAATTCTGACACACCTACCCCATTGCCCCAGTCACTGTATCAATCCATCTCACCCAGGGTCTTCCTTTCCTGCGCTGTCCCTCTACCTTTCCAAACAAGATGTCCTTCTCCAAGCACTGGTCTCTCTTGGACATGTGCCCAAAGTATGTGAGACAGAGTTTCAAAATCCTAGCCTCCAAGGAGAAACTTGGTTTCACTCTCTCCGAGATAGACCTGTTTGTTTTCTTGGCAGTCCATGGTATGTCCAAGACTCTTCTCCAGCACCATAATTTGAAGGCATCAATTCTTCTTCTGTCATCCTTAGTCATTGTTCAACTCTCTGAAGCATAACAAGTAATTGAGAAGACCAGGGCCTGGATTAGGTGACTGACATCATTGCTTTTTAATACTCTGGAGAGGTCCCTGACAGCAGATTTTCCTGATGCAATTCATCTTTTGATTTTCTGACTGCTAGTATTAAGACTGTTGATTGTGGAGCCGGGCAAACTGTAATTGTTAACAACCTCAATCTCTTCTCCATCTATCATGGTGCAAAATTTCAGGGAAAACATGCAACAATTCTTGATTTTAACTGTCTGCCAGTTTCCTTGGTGTAAAAACTCTCTCACATGGTCAATTTTACCTGCCAATATTACTGCTGAGTTACATAGTAGTGATTCTTTCTTTCCATACGATGTGTGGAAACAGAAATTCAACTTATAGTTCAGGAGACTGTTGAATGCCTTGGAGTCAGAACCAATTCATAGTTGACCCTCCTGTGGATTTTCAGAGGCAGATAATTGCACAGGAGGAGTTGGTCCATCTTTCTCCTGCAGAGCAGCTGGTGGATTCAAACACCATGCCTTAGGGATTGCAGTGCTGCTTCTTGCCAGTTGGCCACCAGAGCTTCCTAATGCATGTATTGTTATTATATTGTTGGGTCAGTTTTTACACGAGAAGAGATCGCTTACCCTTTCCTGGAGCATCTGGTGGACTTGAACTGTCTGATTTTGAGATTGTAGTACATCTTCTTATCACTTGGCTCCCAGAGTTCAGGAAGCTAGAAGTTCAAATTTTTTTTTAAAAATTTATTTTATTATTTTTGTGTGAGTGTACTGTCAAATCAGATCTGACTGGTACAAGAGGAGATTGTCCCTCCTTTTCCAACAGAGCATCTGGTGGATTCGAACCGTGTACCTCTGGGATTGTAGTTGCAGCTCCTTGCCACTAGGCTACCAGAGCTCCCCTAGAAGTTAAAATTTAAGTCACTGGCTCTCAGGGAAGGCTATCTGTCTGTGTGCTCTTGGGGATAATTCTTCCCCCTCCCTTTTCTTGTTGTATACAGTCTAATCGGATCTGACTGGCACAGGAGGAGATTGCCCATCCTTCTCCAGCACAGCACCTGGTAGATTCAAACCACACACCTTAGGGATTGTAGTGCAGCTTCTTTGTCATTAGGCCACCAGAGCTCCTCTCTTGGGGACAATTCTTGTTTCTCTTTGTAACCCCTATATCCTTGATTCCTTAATGATCTGCATGTGGACTTCTGCCTTCCCTAGCTTGTGCTTGCTTTCCTCTGTGTCTCTGCTACTCCTTACACTCAGAAACAAGTAAGTGCAGGATCCTCTCTGCACATTTATCTGAAATTTAAATGTATTATAATATTGAACAGAATAGAATATATTTATATAT